GAGCAAGTCATGCAGTAATCCAGGGAAAGAGCCACCCCAAACCACGAAAGAGCAAGTGTGAAGACCCTGCAAAGGGCCCCAAGGAGGCACATTCAAGTAACCCCAAGGAGTGGAGGTCAGAGAGATCGGCGCCTGGGTGTAGACAATGTGGGGTGCATAGGCTTGGGAAAGACTGGCTTTTACAGGACATTAGATGGGAAAGCATCTGAGCAGAGAAGTTATGTGATCTGACCTAGTTTTTAAAAATCCCCTTGGCTGCTGTGTTGAGAAAAGACTGTAGGGGGCCAAGAGCAGAGGCAGAGAGACTAACTGGGAGGCTGCCACAACAACCCAGCAAGAGAGGTCAGTGGCTTGGCAGCGTGAGGAAGTCACCCTGCATTCTGAAGGTGGAGACAACAGGGATTGCAGCTGGAATGGATGTAGGTGTGAAAAAGAGTCGAGGATAACCCAAAGGTTTAGGCCCCAGCAACTCAACAGATGGAGGTGTCGTTTACCAAGATGGCGGTTAGGACAGGAGCAGATTTTGGGCAGACAGATCCAGAACTGAGTTTTGAACATGGTAAGTTTGAGATGTCTATTAGGTCCAAGAGGAACTACCTACCCAGTAAACATTTGGATATTTGAGAAGTCCAGGACAATAGTCTGGGCTAAGGGGTTATTTGGGAATTATCAGTGTATTGATAGTACTATATATGACCCTCTCATTAGTGTAATTATTCTAATAAAAAATGACTTTTCAGGGACTCATCTGTTTCACCAAGCAAGACAGCCCTGTATATACTATACTATAATAGTCTCCTGCTGAGAAGTAGTCCTGAACTCCCTTCTCCCCTTGAGGTTTGTGTGGTATGACATCTTATTTGCCCATTTCAAAGGGATTAAATGCCTCCCTCCCTTCCCTACCTTACCATATCCCCAAGAGGCAGCCATGTGGTTGCCAGCAGAGAACAGCTCAGTTGCTCTTGCAGCCATATTTTAAGGAAGATGAGAAAAGCCTTCACTCTGAAATAAAAATATCTCAGAGATAATTTGGTTCCAGTGCACCCCAAGAAAGTAGGGGGGCACTGACATGGAGGGGCACAGTGGAAGGCTTCATGGCTTCACTTCCCCCTGGCCATGCCCACAAATGTGGCTGCCATAACACAGAGATCCTAAGTAAATACATTAAGAAACACTCTTCGTGTAGGACACTAAATTATCTAAACTTAAAAAAGGGTGTGTGTGGGTGGGTGGGTGTGTGTGTGGGTGGGTGAGAGGGGCAGCACAGAGATCTATGCAGGCTTTCCTAGGCTTTACACTGCTGCAAATGGCAGGTGCCTGCCTAATTAAAACATGTGCAATTAGTTTGGCTTGTTCTGTGATTCTTTTCCTGCAAACGAATGAGATGTGAGAATATATCAGCTCTTGGCAATCTAGTTCTTAAAAGAAACTTTTTCTCTCATCATCACTCTTTTGTCCTGCTCTGAAAAGAGCTGAACCACTATGTACACACAGTATAGTATCCGACTTACCTCCTTATTCAAAATAGTATTTTTCCTTTCATTTCATGTGAAAGTTCACAACCATTTGCCTTTAAAGCTTGAGTATTTATTTTGAATTTAATACCAAGTTCTTATTTTTATTCAGTGACGATAACATTCTTCCTATCCGTCTCATTTAACACACTCATCTTCACGAGTGCAAGGCCACCCGCCCACTCAAAATGCAAACACTGTAATTTTTTAATGATGGGAAAAGCATTCACTAGCCTTGGAAAGAACTTGAGGGGTGTGTGTGTGTGTGTGTGTGTGTGTGTGTGTGTGTGTGTACATACAGAGTTGCACTTATTGCCACTTTACAATAACCACTTACTTGAAGGCATAGATTTTTCACTGCAGCAAAAATAAACAGGTCCAGTCTAAGTGGAGAAATGTGAACCATGTGTGACTATTCCTTTCATTCATTTATTCATTCAACATTTATTGAGTGTTTTTACTGATTCTTATGAATCTTCAACCTATTTAAACAAGCATATTCTGCAGATGGTTCCTGAGATAATGATTCAGTGTGTCTGCTTAACATTTACATATGTGGATGATATGCATTACTGAGAATGTGGCATACCTCTAAAAGGTGGTAACTTCCAAACACAACACTTCGGGAAGATTGCCCCCCAGCAACACTGTAAATAAGAAACATTAACTAAATGGCTTCTTTACAACAAGCTGAAAAAGACTCATAACAAAACCAGGATTTTAAATGATATTCATTCTTTTCTGATTTCTGATGGGATCACAAAGTGCCTCATTCAAAAATGTCCTAAAACCAAAATTATAACAGGGAGTGAGGGGTTCCTAAAGATTCAAATAAAAGTTACCATGTAAACAAGTATGGGTAAACCAAATTCACATAGCTAGTGCAATTAATTTTTAACCGACAGTTTAGGTTAATAGGCGGAGACAACGCTCTGCCACTGTATTTAAGGTTAGGTTAATAATTAACTTTGGTGCCTGGAGTAGTTTAATGAAAGTGTACTGTAAATCATAAAACTGCTCCATGCAGACTAAACACACGGTATTAAAAAACCATACAAAATGCTTGCCGTCTTGACTTCTAGTAGCCATTTGTACAAGGCGTAAAAAAGTTGGGTATTTTCATTAAGAACAGGGCACAAGCTCTTTAACTTTGAAGGAAAAATCTAAATAAAGGTTTCGAGTATCCGGAGACACCAATTTTCCCCTGCCATCAGGGTGGCAAACCGTGGACCTGATTCCCAACATATGTGTGTATCAGAGAAAGGATGACCAACAATTATCCATATTAAAAGGAAGGCAAAGCACAGAAAAGCACTCGATCTTCCTACTGGTGAAACACTTAAAAACCAGCGCTGAGGGCATTAAATAGCATTTCTCGAGATGGCAGAACAGTACAACTGGGTTAAATGGCTTTTCAGAATGAGGAAAAAAAAAAAGTTGTGAATATGAGTGTGTGAGTGAGTGTATGTTTTTAATCTGTCTGCGGATCACGCTGAGTAGCAACTCGATTTTTACAGAGCGTAAACCAGGAGTTATCCCACCGTAGCCACACCTGACCACAACACCCCCAAAAGCAGTCACCTTTCTCCCGAGGACCGAGCGGAGCGGTCGACCGTGCTGCCCACTGTGATACAGGCCGAACGCTGCCGCTGCAAGTGCTCGCCCTGACCGTGAAGACAGCGCCACCAGTGTCTCGTCCCTCTCCTGCTCTAATCCGATCAGGCTCTGCTCTGCTCCTCCCTGGACACCCGCCGGCTGGAAAACCGGGCGCGGGGCGCGGGAGGCTCGGATGCTGCACTTGGAGCTCGTTACTTGCAAGCCAGCGAGCCTCGACCTGTGTCCACATGCATGGGTGCGCCAGCCTCCGTCCATAGCAGTTGCACCACCATCCCGAGTCCTGCCTCTGCACGTCCTCCCCCCACTCTCCCCGACTGCTTGAGAGACTGGTCAAGCTAATGCAGCGCCGCGACCCCCACGATGTCCAGCGCGGGCCGGGGGCGCCACTGTCCAATGGGCTAGTACCTCGCTCCTAGCCGCCTCCCGGACTGCCCGCCAGCTTCTCTCCAGCTCGGGTTTCCCGTAGGCTGCACTTGCCCAGCCCCAATCCCGTCGTGCCCACCGCCCCCTGGCTTTCAGAGAAACTTTCCAGAAGAGCCGGGTCTGGTGACCTCGCGCTGGAAAAGGGGGAGGAGGCGCTGGGCGGAGAGGCGGCGAGGGAGCGGGAATGATCAGAGAATCCTGTTTTCTTTCCCAACACCAGCAAGTCCGGGACCGCTCCCTGCCTCCCCCTGCGCGGCCCGGGTCGTGGAAGAAGGGAGGGGGCCAGAGGACCATGCTTTGCACCGAGTCCCACACCAGTGAGCAGAGAAGAGCGCAGAGAACCCGGAGGAAAGACACTTCCCCATCCCAAAAGGGTCAGGCAGAGTAGGTGGGCATTGCCCGGCTTGCTCCCATGCGCCCCGCCGCCCCGGAGCCAGCGCTCTAGGACGCTGCAAAGAGTCCGGGCATCCAAACCCTGAAGTCGCGGCAGAGCCCTTGTCTGGGTAGCCAGCCCCAGGTCATATCTTGCTTGGTCTCCCCATCTTTCTCCGTCTGGGGATACCTCCTTTCCAGAGAGGGAACACGCAGATTTAGGAGGAGGCTCAGCGGGCGCCAGCCCTAGCGAGGCGGGCTCTACGCTTGAGGGTACGCAGACGCGGTGGTCAGTGTTCTCGCCACTCGGAAGGGAGCTGCTGAGGGGGACAGGACCCAGGCGGAGACGCCGGCCGCTCCCTGGCACTCAATGGAGCAAACAAAGCCCGGAGCCTGTGGTGCCAGCGGCCACGGGAGCCGGGATGTCACCAAGAGGCAGGACGCGCGGGTGTCAGGGCCATTACAAGTTTCGCTCACTCCACACAGCCCAGCCCAGACCCCGCACGAACAACAAAAGACTCTCTCCGGTCTACCCACTGTCGGCGCCGAATCCCTTCTCCCAACTCCAGGACCCAAATCTGGCCATGGACGAAGACAGCAAGGTTCTACCCAACCCCCTCCAGCCCTAGAAGGCAGAACCCCTTGCCCTGCCTTCGGCTCTAGGACAAGGCGCTTCCAAGAATCCCATCCTCTCAAGGCTGCTTGGCTTCCTGCTGGTCGGAAAGTGAGGACGAACCCCCGGACCCGCAGCGGGCGCACACACACCCTGATGGGGCAGCCATCCGCGCCGTCGCGGTACCGGGCGGCGCCAGGTAGGGAAGCGCGCGGCCCGGGTAGCGAAGCTCGCGACGTGGAGCCCAGCGGTCTCTGGGGCGCAGGGCGGAGAGGCACGGGCAGGGCGCACGGCTGCTCCCCCAAGGCAAAAAACGCTTAGGAGACGAAAACACTAGACAAAATAAAAATAAAACGCAGACACTAAAAAAGCGACAGCGCGCTCCTGCCGCGACCCCGGGACCGGCAGGCTGGAGACAAGCCACCCTGGAGGTGGGGCGCCCCGGAGCGCCCGGGCCGTACCTTTTCGGTGCATCGACGGGCAGGCGGCCGGGGCTCGGAACGGACTGGTGCAGTGTGTCTCCCATTTAGTAATCCATTATCGAGGGGATCTCTCCGGGCCGCGAGCTGCGCTCTCTCCTTCGCAAGCCTTTGTCATTCCTACATGTGTGGTTGTCTCTTTGGGGGCAACAGTCGCGGCGACTACTTTCTAGGATGCAAGCGCGCTGTGTTCATCTCCAATGATAGGGGAGAAGAGAAGAGGAAAGAAGCAGCAAAAACAAAAAGACGGAAAAAAAAAAAAAAAGCAAAAACCGACACACACAAGAAAGGGGTAAATGTTCAAGAAAACTCTTCTCCAAATCCAAATGCCACTTGGATTCCACTCCTGTGAGTCCTTTCGGTGGTGTCGCCGATTAACAAGTCATTTCAGGGCGGGAGGGCGGGGTGGGGCTGGGACAGGAGTGCGCGGCTGTGGCCCGGCTCTGGGCCGGGAGCGCGGTGCCACCGGTGTGGCGATGCTGGCCGCTGCCGCACGCTCCTAAGCGGGCATCGCGGGAAGTCGGTCCTGCAGAGAAGCGCCGCTGCTGCCTCCCGAGCGCCTGGACAGTCGAGTGCGCGGAGAGCAGAGTTGGCTGCAGCCTCACCCCTTGCTGCTCACTACTCCTCAGCCACCCGAGAGGCCGCCGCTCCCGGGCGGAGCCAAGTCCCGGACTGGATTGCGCAGAGCGGACTCGTCTTCTGCAACTCCGCCTCCTTTGGCTGGCGTCTTTTCCGACCCAAAGGAGAGCTGTGGTGTGTGCGTGTGAGTGCGAGTGAGCGAGGCGGAGAGAGAGATAACGTGCGCGGTGTGGGTGCAGGTAGAGCCTTGAGCCGACTCGCCACGTAGCTTCCTTCCACCTAGATTCCGCACTCGGCGGAGGTCCCAGAGGGGGCGACTGGGACTAGAGCCCAGCCCTCGCTTCCCCCACCCCCGCATCTGCTCTAGCAAGCGGAAAAAAAAAAAAAAAAAAAATCCCGGACAGCATTGCTGAGCCCTGCCAAATCAGAAAAATAAATAAAAATAGACGTAGTGCAGGAGCGAGTTACAAGAAAGGATTTGTTCATCGATTTTCTTAAATGGAAAAGTTTTAAAGGATGAGGGTAAGTGAACGGCGCCTTTCTAATTCTGATTACCGTATCAAAAGGTAGATTCCGGAGTGATGGACGCGCTATGTATCCAGATGAATTGGATAGAAGCTGGTGCGGTTAAAAATACACTTCGAGTATATGAACACAGCTGTTAGTTACGCACATACACACGTTAATAAAGCACGTTAAGTAAGCAAACTACAGGACAGAGAATGGCATTATTAACAACAAAAACAATAACGACCTATTTTAAAACTAAGAAAGTGTGTGGACTGTTCCTAGAAATAAACAAATTTCAGAAATAAGACGCAGTTTCAGTGAGAACCCAGTAGCGTCACGGAAGAAGAAAATTCCAACTACTTCCAAAGAGCTGTTGTTATGATCACACGAAGAATGGCAGGCACAGCCTTCCTCCACCGCAAGAACTCCGAAACGCCAAGGAGGCTTGCAGTTACAGGCTTGTGCCAACTCGTCGGGCCACGCCATGTCCCCCTCCCCTGGCCGCTGCGCGCTCCCTGCCGCCCCCGCTGCGCCCCGCCAACAACGCGCGCTGCGGCTGCCACTACCCCAGTGGGTTTCGCAGTTGGTGCGGGAGGTAGCCGCAGACTTTATAGAAAGCAACACGGGGCGGTCAAACTGTTCACAGAGCAGTATTTACTACTCAGGGGGTCGGGCGAGAAAAGCAAGTGGGGAGAGAGATTGGGGTCTCAGTCCTACTTAGCTCGAGAGCCCTCAAATAAATGCGTTAGAAATTATTTGTTCACTAATCGAGGCTTGAATAAGTGCACATTCCGTTTTATGCTGTTCCTGATGGGAAACCAGGTTACGCTCAGATAACTAAGCTATCTGTTCATGAAAGTTTAAGAAGAAAAATGCACACGCGATGACACACTATCCCCCACGCCCCTTCCTTTTTTTCCCCACAAACCACCTGGGGAAGAAAGGTGAGGAAAATGGTAACGGAGAAAAACTCAGTCTCCCTGATGTTCTTCAGAGCTGCCAGCAGGGGCCGCTATCCCCACCTTTCCCAGGCAAACGCGGCTCCAGGCCCGGGGGAGGTGGGGAAGGGGCGGGGGCGCGGCCCGAGGTGCGCGCGCAGCCCCCGCCGCTCAGAGGAGCTGGATCCCGGAGGAGGCTGGGGAATGAGGGCGGTGGGTTAGGTTCTTGTGCGCTCTGGGGGCTTGAGGGTCGGGCGGAAGGGCGCTGGCGTGCCCCGACGGCTCAATCCCTGGCTGCGCTATTTAGCACACAGACTTGGGCTGGTGACGGAAGAGCCGAGGCGTACCGGGTCCCGAGATCGTCCGTGATCTCCTGGCGCTGCCGGCGGAGCAGAGGTCGGGCCCAGACGGCTCCCTGGTTCTTCGTCCCGAACCTCACCCTGCCTGGGTCGCCGAGGTCCCCCCTTCGCCCTTTGCCGCTGATTTACATGCTAATTGTGTCTGGGAAAAGTTGTTTAATTGGCAGAATTAGGCAGAGCAAACGAATTGTTTCACAGGCTGAACCAAATTAATTCCGGGTTTAGCTCCTTCCTCTGGAGAAACAAAAAATTAAGCTGTCTTGTTTGCTTTATGGGTATATTGGAAATGCCCCACATCGAGTTCCAGGATATTTTTTAAAGGGAAATTATTTTCAGTATTAATACTTGTATGTTTAATTTGCAGAAACACTGAGCCATGAAGTGAGAGATTAAATTTACCTAATTTAAAATTACAGAATACAAGAGAAAAAGAATTTGAGTTTACTTTGCACAGGGAAGAAATGTCACCCAGAATCTTCCTGGCAATTACGAGATCCTGAAGTCTCACATCCATTTAGGCGGCCATATTCCTGACACGTGATATGGCATTTCCACCTGCCAGGGGAAAGATGCTCCAGGAGCTGGCAGAAAAGCCAGCTATTGTGTTGCTCCCGAAGCCCTCTGGGGAGCACCTGTGGCCGCCTGGTGAAACCTCATGATGTCATTTCCACTTCTGTGTGCCTCCGAATTATTCCCAGACTTAACTCCCAGACGCCTGCCTTAACTTTGAATAAAACCACTGCCCCTCCAAAGCCTTTGAAGTCTGCAATTCCTTTTGTCCCTTCAAGGAGAGAATGCCAACGGGAGTTAACGAATCACCAAGTTAGAACTAGAAGGTAACCTACACATTTTTGTAGCTAAGTGGCATGGAGTGGAATGATTAAGACGTTGGTCCCTAGAGGCAGTCTGTGATTATTACTAGCTGGTAACTTTAGGCAAGTCACTTACCTCTTTGGCACCCCAGTGTAAAACCCTTGCTGGCAAGTTGATTGTGACTCATGGCAACCCTATGTGTTACAGAGTAGAACTGCTCCATAGGGGTTTCTTGGTTGTAATCTTTGCAAAACAGATCGGCAAGCCTTTCTTCTGGAGCACCTTTCTACCATGGCAGTGCTGGGTGGGTTTGAACCACCAACCTTTAGATTAGTAGTTGACCCCAAACTGTTTGCGCCACCTAGGGACCTCATGGATTACATGTCAACATTAAAAAAAAAAAAAAATCCTCACAACTGAACCAATAAGCAACATCACGATCAATGGAGAAGATATTGAAGTTGTCAAGGATTTTGTTTTACTTGGATCCAAAAGCAACGCCCATGGAAGCAGCACTCAAATCAAACAATATATTGCATTGGGCAAATCTACTGCAAAAGTCCTCTTTAAAGTGTTAAAAAGCAAAGATGTAACTTTGAGGACTAAGGTGCATCTGAATCAATCCATGATGTTTTCAATCACCTCATATGCATGAGAAAGCTGGACAATGAATAAGGAAGATTGAAGAAGAATTGTTGCCTTTGAATTACAGTGTTGGCAAAGAATGTTGAATATACCAGGGACTGCCAGAAGAATGAACAAATTTGTCTTGAAAGAAGTACAACCAGAATGCTCCTCAGAAGCGAGGATGGCGAGACTTCGTCTCACTTTGGACATATTATCAGGAGGGACCAGTCCCTGGAGAAGGACTTCATGCTTGGTGAAGTAGAAGGTCAGCATGAAAGACACTCAATGGGATGGATTGTCACAGTGGCTGAAGCAATGGGTTCAAACATAGCAGCAATTGTGAGGATGACTCGGGACTGGCAATGTTTCATTCTGTTGTACATAGGGTCCCTATGAGTCAGAACCACCAACTTGACAGCAGCTAATAACAACAACAGGGACCTCACAGCCCCAGTGTACTTACCTGTAAAAGGAGATTTGCTTACTACTTACTTCTGGGGTTTGTGGGGATTAAATGAGATGGTGCATATAGATCGGGAGTCTTGTGCCTGGCACAGTCTGCTCTGTAAAGGTTAATTAACATCATGGTTATCCTTGCTGTCCTCCACATCAATCCCACCGCCACATTTACAGGGGTCAGATCAGGCATAGAGGAAATAAGTGACTTGCTTTGTGCCAGTGACTGAGTCAGAGCTGGGAGCTACCCATAATAACTCCCCATCAGTAAGTGTTTAAGTAACAACATCCACTTCTCCCACATCACCTGGAAAAAGTGTGGCGGAGGGTTAAAATAAAACACAAAGGTAAACTCACCCCAGATCCTTTTAAAGATCATTATCTAACTGTTTTATCAGAATTACTGCTTCAAGGCAAAGAAGAGGGACGAACTTGGGAGAAGAGAGACCACTCAGCTCTTTGCGTGTATGAGTTCATGCGGGGCGCTCACGGAATGCAGTTTGTACATTCAAGCCATTACTGGAGACCTAAGTGCATCCTTAAACCCTTCTCCAAAGTTCCCTCAACCTCCTTGCCTTAAATCAGGGGTTTTAAAATCCATTTGCACATTAGAATCACCTGGAGAGCCTTAAAATAACACAAATGCCAGGGCCCCAGAGATGCTGATTTTGGGCTGGGGTGCCTGCTGGCCATAGGTTTTTTCTTTTTTTTTTTAAAGCTCTCCAGTTGATTATATTGTGCAGCCAGGGTGAGAATCACTGGCAGGCTGAATCCTGGCTTTGTCCTAGAACACTGCTTTCCCCCAGCCTTTTCTGGTGGGCACTGTTTCTCCTCCCTCTTGTCCCTTTATTCCAGTATTGAGAAGTGAGGACAGTGTCCTCCTTGCCTCTCATGCTGCTTTGGAACCATTTGTACCTCTTTTGTGCTTGTGCTCTACAAACACGTTAATGCTATCCACAGACCTCATTTTATCACATTCTTCAAAGACTCAGTTCGGGGCTCACTGTCTTCCTATCTGTCCCACCTCCTGTCACCATTCATAGCAGTGTCAGGGTCCACTGGAAAACCCCACAACCCTCTGGTTTCTCATTTTCTTCTCTTCTTCATCGACGCTATCTTTTTCCTCTACTCATCTCTGCCACCCATTCCCGGGGCTCCATGCGGGGCCTTATCATTATTAGTTAGTATTAGTCTGTATTAGTTTCCTGGGGATGGTGTAACAAATTATGTCAAACTAGGTGGCTTAAAACAGCAGAAATGTATTCTCTCACAGTTCCGGAGCCTAGAAATCTGAAATCAAGCTGTTGCTGGGGCCATGCTCCCTCTGAAGGCCCTAGGGAAGAATCCTTCCTTGCCTCTTCCAGCTTCTGGTGGCTCCAGGCAATCTTTGGTATCCTTTGGCTTATAGCTACGTCACTCCAATCTCTGCTTGAGTCTTCACATGGCC